CCCTGAATGGATAAACAGAGGGACAAGTGCTATGTACACACAATCCTATGGGGGTTTAAGAAGCTTTCTTTTCTTCTGGTGATAGTTCTTTTTTTAAGCTGTTCAGTATTTTGTTAACATATTGGGGGGGAGGTGAGGGTGAGGGTGAGAGGGATTTACTAAAGTCAGTGCACACAGAATCTTAAGCAGCTGTGAATAGTAACCAGTTAACTTCTAACTTCAGCTAATTTTTTTCATTCAATTATGATTTGACAAGTTTTGACAGCTTTGAGAGCTGCACCAGATTCTGTGTGCACCAGTTTTAGTAAATCTCCCCTATTATGAGCATTATACTAGTACAATGAAGACAAAATAAGTCTACATTTAAGTAGTTAGACCTCCATGAACATGGGCCTTGTAGTCTTCAAAGGGCATGGACTGTGCTGCTGCCTGGAAGCTGAATAATATCTTCTTTCAACTCTCCCTTAAAACTGGTTAACTCAGTTTATAACTGAAAACTAAGTATATTTTATTATATATTATATTTTATTGTGGCGGCACAGTGGCTTAGTGGTTAGCACGTCTGCTGTGCAATACATGGGTCATGGGTTCAATTCCCAACCATAGCACCTCCTACATGGAGTTTGCATGTTCTCCCTGTGCTTGTGTGGTTTTCCTTCAGGTACTCCAGTTTCCTCCCACACTCCAAAGACATACTGGTAGGTTAATTGGCTCCTTTCTAAATTGTCCTAGTTTCATCCCAGGCCATGCGGGATCTCCTGCATGGTACGGGTTGGGGAAAGACCTGGCAACCTACCCTGTAAAATAATTGCTAAGAGAATTCATGGAAAAAGTCGCTTACAAGTGACGATCCATGCAATCACCAAGGGTCAGATATGACTGAATGGAGATAGAGAATATTTTATTGTATATTTTTTTTTATATAATATAAACTGCAATCATCCCAAGTATAATTTAGCAATTAGGTCACTCTCGGGCACAAAGAAAGAGAAAGTAGCTAGAATATTTTCCCCAAATGTGTAAACCTTAACAAATAACTCTTAAGTCTTCTTTTTTTGTCTGTTAAAGATATCATTGAAAGAGTTTTGTTATTTGCATTCAGTAAGTGCAAAAATATTTTATAGAAAAGAGGAAAAGGGGTGAGATATTTTGTAGTGCTAACACACTTCCTGTACTAGGGTAAAAATGCTGAACCTCCATAGATACAGTACAATGAGTAAGCGTTTTCACCTAGGATAGGAAGGGTGTTCATTAGGTGTAAAGAAAGCAAAGCAAATCAAAAAGAAAAAAAGAAAATAGAAAATTAGTTCAGCCACCACCTCTAAGGAGTTGGAAGTTACAATATATGACATTTGTTTTCATACGTCGAATAACAATTCTCCTAAAGAAGCCATAACATTTCTCCTAATAGTAGGCAATTATACCCATCCAGCCAGCTATTAAAGCACTGCACTAGCTAAATCATTAGCCATTCTAAGAAGAACATAAGGTGCCCACTATTATCCTTAATATCCAGAATACAACCCTTTGTTTGTCTGTTATTGTGGGTCTAACTTTTGTAACTTTTGAGCGATCATTTGCCCAGTTGCAACCTTGTCTTCAGTGGTCATTATCCTTGCCTCCCTTTTAGCAACTCAGATGGTGGAGCTAATTTTAATATTTTTGCATAAGCAGTATAGACAAGTTTATGAAAAATCCATTGAATCCATATAGATCAATGACCCAAAAAAAATGGTATTGTTGATTCCGTGTGTCTTACATATAATGGTCATTTTATTAAAAATATATAAAAGTATTTTTTTGCGCTCACAATATAAAATTCCTACAAAATATAAAAGGAAAAGTTATAACCAATGTGTACATTTTTGTGAAACAATAAATATCATAGCAACACAGAATCGTAAACGTGATTTACAGTAAAAGCCTCACTGCTTCATGTACTTAGTAGTATTGCCTGCATAATTATTCATAAATCTCCAATGTGTATGGGGTAGTTAATATTTGTACTGCAATAGAGATCTTATGTATACTGTATATTTGCATTAAAAGTGTGTGTGTGTTGGAAGAAGGGGGAGGGGGTTGTTTGTGTACAATTCACAATTTTTTTTATTAGCACTTGTAAATCAACCACTTGCCCTCCAGTGGATTTACCCCCCTTACTCACCAGCCCATTTTTTTGCATTACGGCGCTGCGTTACTTTAACTGACAATTGCGCGGTCATGCAACGCTGTACCCAAAGAAATTTACATCCTTTTTTCCACACAAAATGAGCTTTCTTTTATTATTATTTTTTATATTATTATTTTTACTAGTAATGGCGGTGATCAGCGACTTATAGCGGGATTGCAGGACTGTGGCAGGCATTCTCACACTGGGGGGGGGAATTGACTTGGTGTCACTGACATCCCCAGTGACACAAATACAGTGATCAGTGCTAATAAAAAGCACTGAAACTGTATTAATGGCACTGGGCAGGAAGGGGTTAACATGTGGGGCAATCAAATGGTTAACTGTGTGCTGTCTTACTGTGTGCTGTGTTTGTGCTTCACTGTAAGCACATTGCTTTTTATGGCAGTGCTATACAGAGCCATGCAAAACAGTGTGCAGGAGCTGACAGGGGAGAGAACTGTATTGTTTACATACAGTTCTCTCTCTCTCTGTCGCTAATGCTCCTCGATCACCGGGTGTCAGTGAGTAATCACCGGCCGGGTCCCAGCGATTGACAGCTGAGGCTGCAAATAGTTTATACTTTATGACAACACCGGAGATCTAAATAGGCCAATGTCCTCACTGTAAGCAGGGACCCATGTCCATGTGACCTGGCACCCGCTGCTACATTTATTGCTCCCCATTCCTAAAGCCAGCAATTGGGAAAGAGAAGTGGAGAGGCCAGTCTCACCATAGGCAGGTTTTGAAGGGTCCTATTTTTGAATGGTGATTGAGAACCTTGATTATTTCTACAGACAGAAGACAAGACATCCTATTTAACATGCTATTACCTGGAGATTGTTTTACTTGAGATTACCATGGCACACAAATACATACTGGCCACATGAAATGGTACAGCCATGAAGTACAGTATATAAGTAGTCAAAGAATTGAAATGACCTATGCTGCTCTTTCAGTTATTCCATCTAACAGTACCTCTGTATACAGGCTGTTGTAAACTCCTTTTTGCATCGTCTTTCATGTTCTTATAATCCTTATATTAGTAACTATATAAATGTGTGCTACCATTGACTTTACTTTCAGAAATTAAGTATGGATAGCTGCAGAATATGCCTGCATAGCAAATCTGCCTGGAAAATGATATCATCACTGGCTTAGCATAGCATAGCACAGTAAATTGTCAGCCAGTAGAAAAATGAATAATTCCAGCTAATCTGGAAAGAAAAGGTGCTGCTGTCATTGTACCAGATATACTTCTGAAGGTAAAGACACAGCACAATGGCTAAATGATTAGCACTTCCGCCTGGCAGAACTTAGGGTCATTGGTTCAAATCCCAGCCACGGCACCACCTGCCTGGAGTTTGCATATTCTCCCTGTGCCTGTGTGGATTTCCTCCAGGTACTCTGGTTTCCTCCCACACTCCAAAGACATGCTGGTAGATTAATTGGTTCCTGTCTAAATTGTCCCTAGTGTGTGGATGAATGAATGTGAGTTAGGGACCTTAGATTGTACACCCCTTGAAGGTTAGGGACTGATGTGAATGTACAATATATATGTGTAAAGTGCTGTGTAAATTGATGGTGCTATAGAAGTACCTGAAATAAATAAAGACAATTTTTACTCAGAGTTTCACAGATGTTATTACAGGATTTCTACAGAGCTGTGATAGGAGAGGGGTGCAAATAAAGAGCTTATAACAGCCTCTCTGCACTGGTATGGAGAAATGGGCTAGCAATATGAATAACAAGGGTCATTTTAAATGAGAACCATCACCAGAAGAAAAAAGGATTGATAAATCACCCAAATGCTCCCTGCATACATAGAACGTGCCCTCATTAAAATTAGAACAATGGACGTAAACTACAATTTTGAAAATTTTTTTGTCATTGCAGGCTGTAGCTCCACCCAGATGCCTGCAATTATGGGTGGTCCATGGGGGGATTTACAGCCAACACTGAGCCCTGCCCGCCCTACATCCAGCATCACCCTGTCTCCACATATCTCGTGTTTAATACACACTGAGCCTGAGCAGACTTCTATTCAGGAGAATGTAGAGCATGGAAACTGTCAGCTTGTGTGGTCAATAATTGCAACTGAAAAAAAGGGTTTTTATTCACACTGAGCACAAGCTGACAACAGCACACACCAGCTACTACACTTCTCTCAGAAAGCCTAGTGCACTACCTGGCTTGGGCTGTTGTCAGCTTGTGTTTTTGTGAAAGTCCTTTGCTCCAGCTGCATTCATTCACAACATTTTCTGTGTCTGAATAGCAGTATGAACCTCCAAACTCAATGTAAACTAAAAAGGAAGGTGCAGAATTTCAAAGCAAACCTGGAAGTTGGGGGAAAAGGTTTTAGAGGGCCTTGCATCTGCATCTGAGCATGGTGAGTAAATTGACATTATGCTACAGCTGCACAGTCACTCTATTAGCCATCTCCTCCTGCCGCTGCATCTTCCAAGGGGCCAAGGAAGCTTCCAACTACTTTTCCTTGCCAATAGACAGCTATTGGGGGATGGGGGGGCGCAACCAAAATGTGACCCTGAAAAATCTGTTTGCTACTTGTATAGCAGAGCACCCTAGGTTTTAGGGGTAGCAGGCACTCCGCAAATAATCCAAATAATCTCCTTAAAGTGTTACTAAACTCACAACAGTAAAATCAGTCTGTATATGCAGCAAAGCTTTCTTGTTATACTCACTGTGGGACCTACAAGGCCAATCCTCCACATTGTGTAAAAAGGCTTTTTGATCCTGTCTTCTCTTGTCTTTCCTTCTTTTACTGTCAACAGTCCATCTGCCATAGTACACCACAACAGTGGCAAGTCTGCACATGTTGTGTTTGGTGTGTATTGCTAGAGAGTTGTTTTTTTTTTGGGGGGGGGGGGTGCATGTTATTGGCACAGGGCCAATCAGCACTGTCCAGACAGAGGGTCAGGGGTCATGCAGCCTCATAGGACAGTCAGAGATGAATGAAAACTCATCCTACAAGATTAACCAGTGCTCGGCCAGACACTGATAGAAGTCACAAGACTGCTTTATATAGCTGATGAAAAAAAGCATTTAGCAGTTTATATTTACTAAAATAATTGCATTTCCATGTTCTGTGTACTGTGGAAGACTGGATATAGTGAATGCAGGGTCGTGGGTTTAGTAATACTTTAATATGTCTGTTCTAAGGTACCATTTTAGCAGGTGAGCATAGCTAATTGATTTACCTTGAAGTAAACACAAGCATTTGATCAAGCATGGACCATGGAAAAATGCATAAACAGAGATTACCCCTCGTGTAAATTTTGTGTCAAGATAGTCTATGGTTTACAAGATATTGACCCTGAGCTGTCATTTAAATCTCACATTTTCCACTAAAAGTTGATTTTGACATCATACATCTGTCTTCAATAGTGATATCACCGACTAACAGGGATGCCTTGGATGAGAATTGGGAGCAGAAAGGTAGACCTGTACAGTAATACGGACATTTGTATATCATTTTACCTATGTTATCTCTGGGTTTATTAATTGTTCTGATATATGGCTATCACTGGAGATTACTTCTGTTTTTGCATTTTTTCATCATGTGTTCGTTTCGATTTGCCCATGTTTGTAACATGTATACTTTTTTTTCTCTGTTCTGTTGTGAAGACTCCAGCAAAGAAGTTGCCTTCAAATAACAGAATCTGTGCCTCCTTTTGCAATCTAACCAGAATCCACATTTCCAGACATCCTGAGAAGCCTGTAATGAGGTGCTATAGACAGTTTATGGTGCAGCACAGACCATGTCAGGAGATAGTATGAGAAAGATTGACACAATATGATATATGTAGTGTTTCATTTGTATTATTTGAAAGTTCAATCATATGCATTCTAATTGTTTCATGTATTCAACAGAAAATTTAGTTGTTGAGACAAACAGTTATACTCTGTCCTTGTAACAAATCAATGCTCTGCATGAGAAATGATGATCAGCTTTTCCAGCTATCTACCATTTCACTTCCACTAATTAACACATGGAAGCACACAGAACTGTTCTTTGCCTGCCTTCATCTCTAACATTGATTAGTGCTGGCAAGTTTCCCAGCAGTATTATAAAGAAGAAGAATTCGACTTTTCCGTCACTGTGTTCTGAATAGTCTGCTTATAGTACATTTATGTCTCCAGGGATTCTCCCAGCAATAAAGGCCCCCAATATCGAACACCGGTCAGTGCTGGATCCATTTTCATTTTATTAGAAAAGTAACTTGGCATACAAGTAAAAAATAAACAATGATAGATTATATTTATGGCATACCTGAAAAGCAAACATTGTTAAATTGACTTACTTATCTATCCTTTGTGCTTGCCAAGAATGGGCAGAATGATTAAAAGCAATTATATTGACATTATAAAGCCTAATATATAAAGTAGAATGCTGTAGTAAATACAGAAAGCTATATGTTTTCTTCTTCTACCTGCATCCCTGAATTTATAAACTATTGTTTTCAAAATCTTCTATCAAGGCAATGCATAGGTGTATTTTAAACCAACTGCAGATGTACCTGTTCACTGAAAGTTTTATCTGTAGTCTTTAAAATGTATGTAAATCCAATAACTAGAATGTGATTTTAAAAGTATCCACAGATTTAATTGAAATAATACCTGGTTAACAGGTTCTTGCTCGGGCACTTCCAGTTTTACTGTGGCAACAATCAGCAATGCAAGACCCCACATCTTTCTTAGAAAAGGATTACTTTAAAGCAATTGTAGTCTGAGAAAAAATAAGCTAATTCATCAGGGAATGGCAGAAAAAGTTTATATTTACAATTCAAAATTATTTTTTTTATTGTGCTCCAGTTGCAGCCACAAACCTCTATTTCCCCAGAGCCCACTATAAAAAATTGTGGGCAGCAGAGTGGTTAAGTGGTTAGCACTTCCGCCTGATAGCGCTAGGGTCATTGGTTTGAGTCCCAACCATGGCACTAACTGCCTGGAGTTTGTATGTTCTCCCTTTGCCTGACATGCTGGTGAATTGGCTCCTGTCTAAATTGACTCAAGTGTGAATGTGAGTTAGGGACCTTTGTATGCTCCTTGAGGGTTACGGAGTGATGTGAATGTACAATAAATATGTAAAGCACTGCATACATTGATGGTCCTATATAAGTACCTTTAATAAATAAACAAGGCCCTTTGTGTCAGAGCAGCAGTCTATCTCCAGTAGTCCTTAGTGCTGTCCATTCATCAATGAACATGTTTGGAGAGAGATAGTGACTTTGCAAGGGGTGTGCCGGACTGCTGATGATAGACTGGGGCAAAGATCTTCATTTTTAGTTTGCTCTGGGGAAAGTGGCTTCTGAGGCTGGCATTGGAGGAAAATAAAATAAATAATTAGCATAAGTTATGTAAAAAACCTATGTTTGCCTACACTGCCTATTATTCTAGCTTTTTTTTTTTAATCAGACTACTACTGGGCTTTAAGCCATTATTTTCTTACTGTGTCCCATAAGTATATATCAAATTTTCCAGACCAAGTCTGTATTACTCCTGAAGTGATAATTATTCTGTCACAATTATACTGAAAATCCATTAAACCAATAAATACATACAATTTTATACATTCTGTGTTACATGATAATTCTAAGGGAATGATTACAGAAATATAAGTTTACAAGTATTTCCTTGAAATGAATATTCAAGTGAGCATTCTTGGTTCCAATTTATATGCTATTTTAACAGCAATTCACTAATCAAAATCTCATTAAAGAGCATTAATACAAAGTGTCTTGGTGCTAAAAGAACAGTAGTGAGGAGAAACAAAATGTAAAAAATGAAACCTGTATAGACAGATTGGTGGGATACTGGAAGTGAAAATGTGGTTGTTGTTAAATATGTTTGTGATCACAAATTAATGATTGACACAAACTCATCAGAATGTGTTTTCATATGTAGGATTTTTATTTTGCTGTAGCAAAGGGATACTAATGATACTATATGCTAAAAAGGTTTATTAAATACATACAGTGGCTGCAAGATGCAGTGTTATATATTGCACTATTTTCAGTGAAGGGTGGGTTGTATCTTTGTAACTACTGACCATATCTGGTTGTGCATACTTTCAAAATATTTTTATACTTACCTGCCTGACCAACAAAAATAAATAAATAAGGAAAAATTTTATTTCTATAGTCCTCTTTAACATAATACATAAATAAGTACATTATGTACAAAACAAATATATCCCCCTTAGGGCCCGCTTGCACTGCCCTAGACAGCTGCCGGACACTAAACTGCAGTGGTTAAATGGGCGACAGCTGTCCATTTCTGCGGCAGTGATCCAGTGGTGGGGGAGATGTGATGCACATTTCAGCCCATCACACAGCTCCCTTTTTTAGTATGAACAGTATTTGAAGTGCACAAAAGCAACATAAGATACATGTAACTGTACAGCAGCATAATGCACTGAGCTGCTGTACAGTGACATGCAATCCCATCACGTGTGCTACAATAAAATGAAGCATGTCTGCATTCTATCACAGCTCACTGTACCGCACCTCTTGGGTGCAATTCAGTGTAAATAGGACACCTAGAAAACAATTGTTTTCTGTGTGTCCTAGTGGTGACCTGTGTTCCTCCGGAGTGGTAAAACTCTGGTCACCACACTATACTGTATGTCAACAGGGTCTAAAAGGCAAACATTTCAGTTATACCTATTAATTTTGAAAGTAATGCAACTTCGAGGATTCAACTTTTGTAATCAAGCATTACACATATACAGTATGTAAAGGTGATTGCTCAGATAATTATCTTACTGGGCAATAGTGATATTTGCTGATAGCCACACAGATAGTAAAAAATCACATTACTCAAGCACAACGGGCTTAATTAATAAATTGTGATGTGCAGTAAGGTTTAATCATCCTGGACCAGGTTAAATAAAAATGTAAGATTTGCTAATGTGATCCAGTGTTTAAACATCTTGCAAAGAAAAACCTCCTTTTTTTTCGAATTCCCCAGGCATGATTACATGGTTTAAATTAATAAAGGTTTGCTTTGACTCACTTTACAGTTTAGTGAATCTGGCCCACGTTCATTCATCTCTGCCCATAGGTACGCTCCAGTACATGTTCCAGTGGTATTCATTTTTTTAGAGACTCAATATTTTCCTTTATATAAACCTACGCTTGCTATAGGGTCACACGCTTTGTATGTCATAAATCATCTGGACTATAAATAGATGTGATCTGCTGAATTGTTTGATACAACATATGATTGAAACCGCATATTTCTGTGAAAGATTATGTAAAATGAAAATGATTCTAGGTTTTAATAGTGAGGAAATTATGGATAACAGAGTCCACTCAAACAGTAGGGCTATTACAAACATCAAGCAATTAACAGAAGTCTTTATGATAAAATAAGTCACTGGAGCAGTAACAGCATATAGAAAAGTCAGGCTTCAGCAGGCAGTGTGAGGCATTTATTGGAAATCAGTGCTGCATTGGGATGAAGATGAATGGATATGCCTGCAGCGCTACAGATATGGATTGCTTATTGTGCCTAAATTGTACAATAGTTCAGTAAGCAGATGTAATAGTTAGGCCATTCTTTAACACTCAGTATAATTACAGTTTTGTTTACTTTCATATTGACATGTATTAGGTACAGCTAGCAAACAGATATTGAGCTTTTTACACAGATAGAGTACTTATAGCATGATTTACAAAGTATGAAGTGATCCCGGGCTAGTAACACTTTATTTTCTAATTGTCTCTGTTAACTACACTTGACACAAATTCATCTTACTTCTCAATAAGCACCAAAATTGCTTGTAATCATTTATCACAGTGCATTTGCTAAATGCCAGTGTACATTAGAATGTGTCACCAATTCTTTTTACTTCTTCTTATTTCCTCTGTAAGACACATAGAGGCAGACTTGAAAGTTTTGAGAATGTTCACACAATATATAATGTGAAGATTCACTTCATTGATCTAATAATGTGAAAAGAAAATCTCTGTTTACTTATTTAATCTGAACATGACTAGACAAATAGAGTGAATATTGGCACAATTTATTGTGTGAACATTCTCAAATCCTTTAGTAAATCAGGAATTAGGAAATAATTTTCATCTGTGATTTTCAAACACACAGCGTTCACATTCTGTTGTTAGT